TGCTCTTCCGATCTAGATAAGGAGCATTTAATTTCATGAAAAGTATTCATTATTTATATTGTTGATAATATTTATAACAGTGATTCATTTGCTTCTGCTTTAGCTGTAGCACAAAGCTTCCATTTTTTTTTTATAAAAGTTTTGTGCTACAGCAAAAATTAACAGAATCAAATTAAAATAAGGTTCATTTTAAATGTATAAACGTTACACATGATGAATTTTAATATTCAGCATTATGTTATCCAGAAAAAGCAGTTTAGAAACCGAATGTTAAATACATGTGACATTTAACTTTCACATTGCTGTATAAATATTTTGCGAAATCACCTTATTTCGAAAGAAATATGGTTTATACCAATTAGGTGTAATTCTTTTAATAAAAGATAATGTTCATAAAAATATACAAACTTTTAGTAATTATTTTGTCGATATAAGAGGACATAAAATCTTTTAATAAAGTAGTTTATAAAAATATCATGTAACTACAAATAATTATAAAAAAGAAAAAAATTAATAACAGATTTTTTTTAAGTTTAATAAATTATATTATTTAAATTTTCAAAAAGTTTAAATAAAAAAAAATGTTATATGTATAAGAATATTTCGCAAAATATTTATGTGCGTATTAGTATTACAGTATAATGTCAAAAGAAATAAATATTTATTTATATATACCTTTACTGGTGACGGTGTACTGCCACCGTCTCCAAGTTTGCATTGCTACCAAAGGAGTTGTAGTATTTTTGTCCAAAAAAAGTTTATTGAATCTTTTTCTTTTTAAAAATGAATGTTTATCCGTTGTATCCATAATTTTATATGCTATATGACTTCACACTTGTACTGAAAATTTGATGTTATTTTGTCGTTTCTGTGAGATAGTACATAGTATTTAATTTTATTAAAAAGCGAAAATAAATTATACTTTATAAATTACAATATATGCAACGAAATGAATTTAATAGCATTTCAATATTAATTGGAAGAAACCAAAAGTAACTTTGCAGGTTTTACAATAGTAACGAAAAATTAACTTTAATGATTTGTATCAGAAATAAAGAAAAAGTTACTGAATGGCAGTATTAATAATACAAATTTAAATGACAAATTTATTTTAAATGAAAAAGATGATAAACTTATGTAATTAAAATTTCTCAAAATAGTACTAAAAAAGTTAGGAAATATTATTTACTCTAATCTGAAAAGTTACCTAGGCTACCTAGCTCTTATAATTTGTACAATCCAATGCTAGTCCAGGTGCAGTTCGTACTTTATTTTTATTTTTATTAGATTTAACGGTAGTTAGAACTTTCTGGACTTCAATATACTAAACCTAATCTAGTCAGATTGTTCGCAAACTGTGATAATGAAGTTGAAAGATGGTTTTGAAATTACACATATTGCATTGATGTTAATTACATATGTGTGTGTGTGTGTGCGTGTGTGCGTGCGT